GTCCCGGTCCTCAGCCCCTCGGGCCCCACACCGCACCTCGGGCCTGGTCCCCAGTCCCAAGGGGGTCCCCGTGCGCTCGGGCGTGCAGCTGGGTCCACGGTCCACCGCGAGGGCAGCCGGCCTTGACCCGCATCCCACACCTTCCAGCAGGGGTCTCAGCACAACTGCCCACCCGCTTCCCAAGGGCCGGCCTCCCCCCCCCCCACTCCCGCCGTGGCACCGGTGGTCCACCCAGACAGGCCTCGAAGGGTAAATGCCAACTCCCTCCTACAGTGGGCCCTGCTCCCCCAAGGGTCTTCTGCTCCAGAGGAGACTGGCTCCCAGAGCCTGGTACCCTGGGTCCATCTGGCCAAATGGTGGACATCCCTGCACGGCAGACGTGCTTCGCAGGCAGAACCCGAGGAAATCCCAAAGCTGCCGGTCAAGCAGCTGGAACATTTTCCTGAGCAAAAGCTCTGGCCTGTGAATCAAGCGAAGGGCCTCTGAGGGGCTGGGCGGGGGCAGTGACCCAGCCGCAGCCCTCAGGGTCACTGCCCCTCCAGCCACTGCAGGTTTCCAGCTGCCCCAATTAGGCCACCACCCTCTGCCCCAGTGCGCCCTCTGGCCCTGATCTGTGGGGCCTACTAGGCTCTGCCCACCACAGGGCATGGGAGGATGAGGGCAGGGGAGGAAGGAACCTTCTGGCCTGAGGGATGTTACCGTGGTGTCATTGCAGGCATGGCCTCCCCCACACCCCCCACACACACACCGTGGCACCGGTGCCCACCCTGGCCTCGCCCCAGTGGGAGCTGCTTCTTGCCATCCCTTACCTCAGCCCCCAGGTCCGTGGACGGTCAATGCCACTGCTTCTCCCTTCCTGACTGTGCCGTTCAGGGAACCTGAGCAGGGCTCAGCTCCCACCCTCGCAGCACGGGTCCCACCCTGGAAGCTCCCGTCCTTGTCTGCTCAGCCAACAGATGGGATGCTCTGTGGGCAGTTCCGATAATGGGGGCTCTGGGCCAGGTGGCTACCAAGAGCCAGGTGTCCACGAACACGGGGACAAGGCTCAAGTAGAAGAAATGGGTCCTCGCCAGCCCATGGCCGCGCCCAGGGCCACACGTGCCAATCTGCTCTGGTACCGGAGCCAGAGCCAGAGGCGTGGCCTGACGAGGCTTCCATAAACCGCATTCCCGCAGGTGACCCGGGGGTCAAGTCCATCCCACTGCATCCACCTGTCAAGGGTGTGTTCTGCTTTTGCATCACTGTCCCAACAGGGAGACAGGAAGAAGGCCATCCAGACTGGCCCTTCCCACCTTCATGGTCCCTGCTCCACAGGTCAGTCACTGCGGGAAGCCTGCCAGTTGTCACGTTTTTTCAGTGACATGGTGGGCACTGAAAGACAATCCTCAAACTGTCACTTCCTAGGCCCACGCGCTGACTAGCAGACCAGCAGCGCCTCGGACCACTGGGGACGAGGAACCACTCAGAACCGGTGAAGATGACCACTGCCCCCCAAACTGCTGGCGTTCCCCTTCCCCAGGCGGTCCCCGCACAAAGGGTGGCAGGTGTCCTTGGAATGCTCAGAGGGGGGCCGGCCAGCAGCAGACTCCAGGTCTGGGAAACGGGTGAGGCTGTGCCTCTCTGTCACGGCAACCACGCTGGGACTCTGGCCTCTGACCATCCATGCTCTCAAGGCCATGTCCTAAGAACCATTCAGTTCCCCAGGAGTCTTGACACCCATGCAGATCTTGGCAGGCAGGCCTGTTTGAGAGCAACTTAAGCCTCCATAAAGTGTCCTATGGCACTCACCTTGGGGACCGACTTCTGACACTACACAGTGGAAGCGCAGAGCTGACTGCTGACCAAGGTGCGGGTCCTACCCAGTCCTATGGCCGGCAGACCACCCTCTGGTTCACTGCACAGCCCCTTCCAAGTTCGACGTGGACAACACTGGCCATCTCTGGGTACAACTTAGGTTTTATCCTCTCCCAAAAGGATGCATTCTCTAACGTTCATTCCAAAAAATACTTCATTTATTAAACAATAGATCCATAATCTATAACATGATCCAAAAATACAGATATACACCTTTACATTATTTAATAAAAAGATTTACAATAGCATCTTTCCTTTACAAAGGGGACGTAATAATCCCTTGAAAATAAAACGTAACATTCATGTTAAAGCTGCATTGTCTTTTTGGATGAAATGTGGTGAATACCACAAAATACAGACGTAGGAAGAAAGGAACTTCATAGAACTGTCTCCTGAATGAGGACATTTTTCTCAGACTTCCCGTTCTGAAACTCCTCTCGACACAGGTAATGAAACCAACTGCTATTCACTGAAAACCGAGGAAAACGCTGCCTCTGCAGTGCCCAGGAGTGTCCGAGCCCTGCGGTGGGCAGGCCCGGCTGTGGCACGTGGGGAAGCTGCTCTGCGGACAGTGTTATTGCTCAGAGCAGCCCCGCCAAGGGACACGGAAGGTGGCAAGGTGCAGCGTGGCTGCAGAACATGGCTGTGTCCCCATGTATCCCAGCAAGACTCCACTGCAGGGCAGCTCTCCCGGCCCTGGCCAGGACCGGTCTCGCATCCCCCTGCCCAGGGGCCCCAGCCTGCAGAGTGGGCACCGTCACTCAGCCTCAGCCCAGCCAATATCTCCACGAGCACAGCCAGAGATGCGGGGCTCAGCTTAGCAGACTGTATCAGTGCAGCGCGTGGCTCCTGCCGGAGAACTAGAGGCTCCGAGGTGCTGGCTGACGGTGCAGCTCTGAGAACAGGAAGGTGATGCTGCCTCCCTCCCTTGCCGATAACCCACAGTCACGGAGGGCCCGCGCGCCCTCAGCTCTGACAGCTGCAAGGGGGCACTGCTGGGCCCGGCCCAGAACCCTCAACCCAAGGGACGGGGCTGGCTGCAGAGCCGCCCCCAGGATCAGATGTGGGGCCTGGCAGCACGGCCAGGGGTCTGGCCCGAATGACCCAGGATGAGGGCAGCCAGGCCGTGCAGGGCAATGCTTGGGTGGTCGAGCAGTGCGGGCGCCAGCCGTCCCCCACGGCCAGGCCAAGTGCCGTGACAGTCCTCCCGAGCAGACAGCACTCGAGCAGTTCTGACTCATGTGCAGTGCTGACAGTCAGGAAGGCCGATCACCATCCCAAGAGCGTCCGCGGAGCCTTCCGAGGCTGCTCCTTTCCGTCTTCTTCAGAGCTGTGTGCGTGTTATTTTGGTGATATCACTGTACCTGGCAAAAATAAACACTAGAAACAGATAAGCACAGAAACTTAAAACAGGCCGATACATGGGACGTTACAGTGAAGCAAGGTGACAGCATCGAATTTTAAACAGAAGCTTAAGACAGAGAAGTTGGCCACCTTTCCTGGGAATGAGCGAGGCCTCAGGAAACCAGGTGACAATGAGAACCACCAGCTGTCAACCTACATCCACAAACACCACTGTTTTCCCCCGGGGACAGTAATCGCAAAGTGTTCTAAAACGAAGTACAAATATTAAATTAGCTTCTAAAGAATCATCACAAACTCACTTACTGTACTTACCTATGCTCTCCACAAAAACTGGTAAAAGAGTGAAGAAAACAGTTTTCCACAATTTATTCCCCACATTTTTAAACACCTGCGTTAACACAGAGCTAAGTCAAGATACAAGTGTGCCTCATTCCCAGAGTGGCCAGTGCTCAGCCTGGTGCCGCCCCTACCAGGAAGGAGCCGGCTGTGAGAGTGCTCGCCGGGCCCAGGGACAGGGCGGCGACAAGCCGAACCACTCAGCCTGAGACGGGAAAGGTCGCACACGCTGACCTGTGACCCCACAGTCATCCGGGAGGAAGTCCTGCTCCCTCAGCTCGCCCCACACAGGACAGCAGTGCAGACACGTCCGGTGTGGCCTGAGGTCCGCTGAGAGCCGCAGATGGGGATTCCAGCTGGGCCTTGGCCACCTTCCGATCCCCACTGTCACCTGCAGGAACAGCTCATCTAGGACAGCGTCTCCAGCTCCCCTGGGCCTGGGTCCTCTGCTCGGTGGAACGTTAAGAAGCAGGAGACGGCGCGTCACCCCAGACGACCCTCCTCAGAGAAGACGAGATTCTTCTGAAGCTGGACATTTCGCACCTCGAGTCTACCTCGCGGGTGTCTTTCTCAGGCATGAGGACAAAAACAGGTTTCTCTTCTTTCTTCAGAAATCTTGACTTTGCCTTGGAGAGTCCAGGGACACTCCCAGGAGTCACCCTGCAGGCACCATCACAGATGGAGCCCACGCACCGAATGTGTGCAGTGTCCCCAACTAGTACCAAAGAGACAGCTCAAGATTGTTTGGTGAGTGCTGATTAAACAGAAAATACACCCTAGTTTCCTAGCTTCATTCCAGAACAGCTACTGTGACACAAATACACAAATCACATCACATAATTGTCGACCCCCATGTAAGCTGTGGACCTACTGTGCGACACAAGCGGGTTAAAGTCAGCTCTTAGTGGACTGGACTCACTTCATACAGACACGCTATCTGCTATTACACTAACTTCACCTTCACAGTAAAAACGTCTGTGATTCCCAGAGGCCCGGAGCGCCAGCCCACGGGCCACGGCGCCCTTCGCCGGTGCTGGGCCCCGAACCGCGGCCGCCGGCCCATCCCAGGGCGTGCCCGGAAGGTGGAACCCCAGCAGGGCAGGGCGGGAGTCCAGACGACAAAGGCAGTCACAGTGAGGCAGAGCTGAGGCGGGAGGAGCCTGCCGTCACCACCGCCACTCCGCGCATGCCCTCGGCATGGAAAGACGTGCCGGGCTCTCGGGGAGCGGCCCAGGACACTGGACAGGCCACGCGAGGCCCACAGCTCTGGCTGCAGAGCGGTGGCAGTGTACGCACCAGGCGGGGGTGCCCACAGGCCCGGCACGCCCCCCGCACGCCACGGGCGGCTGGCCGGGTTCTGCGCGAAGTCACGAGGGCGAAGCCACGGGGGCAAGTCCCCATGAGGTTGCTCCTCTGTGCAAACAGGGCTCAGGTGGGTTTGTTTGTCTTAGGAAATATCCAGAATTACAACTGGCCATTGAGTTATTAAATATCACCCGGAACAAGGTCGTTTCAGAATGAAGATAAAACGCTGCAGCGTGCACGGCGGAGCCCACGGCGCGCTCTCCCGGCCCAGGGCCCGCGTCCTCACTTCTTCCTCCTCCTTTCCTGAACACAGCGCGGACAGAACCTGGGACAGGAAAGGCACAGCCATCGGCCCTCTGCGCCACTTGCGCCAGCACCCGGAGGCCCCAACCCCGTCTCCCGGGCCCCCCGGGACAGCGGGCGCTGGCGAAGCAGCACCGAGACCACGAGCACGGAGTGGCGGCTTGATCGAGCACGTGTGCTTGCCGTCGGCTTCCCTCCTGCTACCGTGAGCGGTCGCAGAGTCAACGGTGACCAAAATGCAGACGACACCCGCAGTCTGAGTGGCCAGGACCCTGGGCAAGCAAGGCCCGGAGCCTCAGGCTCAGAGGGCTCTCGGGGACTCTCAGACGGTCCACGCTGCTTTCCACCTCAGCCTCCTGAGCACCCCAACGGGGCGCTGACTGAGTGTGGCTGGGACTGCCCAGGCCCCCGGTTGAGCACGCCCCGCCCCTGGGGCTGCCCCGTCCCCTCCAAGGCCAGGAGAGAAGCAAGCGCCCCAGCATCGTGCTCATCACTCGGCGAGAACATGACCATCGGCTTCCACCTAACCGATGGGGGAAGAGCCTGTATACTTGGTGGCCTCTGAAGTGACCCCGCTGGGAGGGAGACAGTTGAGATGGGCCCCGGGCCCGCCTCCCCAGCTCCGCCTGCCCCAGGCCCCACAGCCCCACTGCTCCCAGAGGCAAACTTCCCGCCCCCCAAACCCGGCATGTCCCAGGTCAAACCAAACCAAACCTCCCGTCCCTCCCCACACCCAGCGAAGGGCCGGCCCCCCACTTCTGCCCACTCCCCTGCCCACAGCGCCCCTCACGTTCCCGTCACCCATGTCGTGGGCACGGTCAGGGGCCGGCTGCGTCACCTCCCAGACTCCCCCGTGCCTCCCGGTGCCCGAGGAGACACGGCCGGGGCACGACCACGCAGCACCCTCATCTCGCTGTCAGACGCTGAGACCAGGGGACCGCAGGCTGCCCCCTGGGTGTCTGAGCCGCCTGCACGCAACCAAGGGCGGCATCACGCACGGTGGGACGGCAGCAGGTCGGGTCCCATGGCAAGACACGTGCCCACTGAGCACAAGCAAACAAAACCAGGTTTTGATTTAAATGACATCTCAGGGACAGCTGAGCCAGGACCAAGACGAGGAGCAGCTGTCTGATGCTGGGCTCCTTCCCCTGAACACCACCCGGGGGAAAGAGCCCCCGGCTCTCGTTTTTATTTGTCGTCCTGGCCTCACTCCGCGTCAGCACGGCAGAGCTGCAAGCGTGACCGGTGCGCCCCAGGCGAGGTGGGCAGCGCACATCCCTCTGCCAGCTCGGCTGGAGACCCAGGACCAGCATGGGACGTGGCCTGGTCCCCAAAGCCACACCAAGAGCACCCAGAGCCCAGCAGGCACGGCCCCACTAGGCCCGGCCACCTGCGCATTCGTAGGGGAAGCCGGCATGCGCGGATGCCTGGCGGGGGGGACGAGACCCGGCCCCATACTGACCATTTTCCTTTGGGTTTCGTGGTCAGGTCCACACAGGCGAAGTGAAACCACTCGATCGGACACTGCAAGGCAGAGGGGAGGCGGGCGGTCACCAACCTGCCCCATGTGCACACACAGAAAGCAGAAGGGCGGCCCCTCCCGCCCCGCCCCGCCCCACAGGTGCACGCCGCCGGCTGCCTCCCCGCCTCCAGGCCCCGCGTCCTGCACCAGAACCCCCCTCGGCGTGCCCCAACACTCACGTCTGGGTTGTCACAGCCGATCATCTCCCCGTAGGACACCTGGTGGCACAGGCAGTACGTGGGCTCGTTCGGGTCCACGGGCATGTCCAGCACATCGGAGGGGTGCACAGACAGGATGGTGTCAGTGAACTCGGACCTGCCAGGAGACAGCAGTGGTGAGCGGCAGACAGGTGGGGGACACGTCGCCCCCATGCTGCCAGGCAAGGGCCAGGGCAAAGGTGCCGGGAGGCTGAGGGAGAATCGCTCACCTCCCAGCACCGGCATCGTGTCCAGGGCCACTCGGGGGCACCCCATCTTGGCCCCTCCACCTGGAAAGGCCTGCTCCTGGGGCTCCCTCCCCTGCCCTAGGTCGACCCTCCTCAGCCTCCTGGGGGCCCTCTCCATTACCACTCACCAGCAGACAGCAGGTGACACCTGAGAACCTGGCCTGGACCCCACCCGACCAATCCAGTGTCTGAGCAGCCCAGCCTTCACCAGTGCCCCAGCCCCTTCCGCAAGAATGGCTGGCTGCTCCCACTGCACATCCCTCGGGCACATTCACCCCAAACCCACGGAGCCCACCAGCTCCCCTGCCCTCCCTCGAGCTCCATCTGGGAGCCCCGCACTGCCCACCCGTCACCGGGGCCACCTCTGACGGCATCACCCCAGGGAAGCCGTCCACCCTCAGCTCTCCTCAGGGTCTCTAAGCAGCGGCCCAGCCAGGACCCCAGCTGCCCACACGTTCCCTCCAGGCCACTCCCCCAGGCCTGCAGCAGAGCAGGGAGACAGCGGCAGCGTCCACCCTAGAAGGAAGGCGATGGGGCAGCAACTCTCTGCGCTCTGCTGTTTTTCAAACACGGCCGCAGGCTGCGGGTGACCACAAACAGGACGCTCCCGTCAGCACAGAGAGAAAAGCCCCCACCCAGCCCCGAGTCAAGGACACACGTGCACTGAAACCCGAGCGGCAAAGGGGCGCCGAGCATAGCGGCGGCCAGACAGCTGTGTCACGGCGAGGGTGACGTGGGTCTGCATCCCCGTCCGGTCACGCGCCAGGCTCCAGGCGCCCCCAGCCACCACACGGCCCCACATCTGTGCTGTTCCCCCCACGAGGCTGCCCTGGGCTCCGGGCCGGTCCGGGCCTCCTCCCTCTGCCGTCTCTGGGAACACACAGGGCTTTCTCTTCATGTCTGAAACCACAAATGTCACAAGAACGTGCCCTTCCCGTGAGCGTGAACACTGCTTCAGGCAACCATCACAAGTCCTCAGGCCAGGACACGGGTTCCTTGCTTCTGCTGAAACCTAGATCTGTCACCGTGGCCAGTGATACTCGGTCCCACCCCACCAGCTGCGTCCTGCCTCCCGGGTGCTCCCCAGGTGACCAGGGCCCCTCCCCCTAACAGTCGGGCCCTGGCTCCCCGCGCCCCAGCTCTGACTCCACTTCAGCGGCCGCTTGACCCGCGCCTGCCACTCCAGGTTCAAGGCACTGGCCAGATCCAGGTGGCAGCAGGAGAGGCTGGAGGGGTTGAGGGGACCATGCAGCAAGGCCGCCGCCCAGCCAGCAAGGACTGGGGATGGCTCCTGCGTCTCCAGGGGGAGCAGTCAGGTGGGGGGCAGGGCGCCCGCAGGGATGTCCCTGCCGAGTCTGTCCTAGGGCAGGCTAGAGGCCCCACTGTCTGCGCCACTCACTCTGGCCCTGCTGGGTAGAGGCTTCCTCCAGGCGGATTCTCCTGGGCATGGCAGGCACCCCTCAGCCGGCACCCTCCCATGTGCTCCCAGTAGCCCCTGCAGGGGTGCTGCTCACCCAAGGCCTGGGGTTCAGGGACTGAGGAGAACCATCCCCTGCCTTGCCGGAGAATAGCACTGGCCAGGCCAGTCCCCAGGATGGCAACGGGGCAGCCGAGCTTGTGCAATGCCCCAGACGGGACAGGGGGACGTCCGTGAGGCTGTCAGCACGCCACTCTGGGGGCCTCCCTGCCCCTACTGAGCCCCCCGGCAGGGAAGACAAGCTGTGACATGCCAAAGCAGTCCTACCCAAAAGCAGGATTTGAAGCCACTAGGCCAGTGGGGACACAGGGCAGTGGCTCACCACGCACGTCTCAGGACCATGTCCTCAGAGCCCCGCCCAGGCCTTCACTCAGACGCCCGCTCTGACCCTCGCTGCCCGCACGGCGCCGAGGGGGTCCGGGACGGGTGTCGGGACAGGCCGGACACCCTCACGCACCCCTTGCCTCAGCCCCTCCGGCCTGTCCGGCATCTGCGAAGTGGCAGTGACAGCGCCGTTGCTCAGGTTGCCAGGGAGACGGAGGGATTCTCATGGACGGGCCGAGTGCATCCCGGTCCCCGACGGCCTCACGGACACCCCTGCCCCTGACGTCCACTCATCCTGTGTGCTGGGCGGCCAGCCCAGCGGAAGGCGGAGCAACCTGCCTCCGCCGTGACACAGCGGTCACCAACACGCACACCACCACACACGTCAGGGAGAGCGGCCAGCCAGCAGGGCAGCTGCGACAGGGTGGGTCATCACCGAGGTCTCTGAGGCGCAGCCAGGCGCACTTCCTGTTCCAGAGGCCCCAGTGCTGAGATCCTGTTCCCTCTGAGGGGGCCCTCGGGTGAGGAAGGGTCACACTGCTCTTCCCCGGAGATGGCACGGCTGCCCCTAGCTCTGCCCAGGAGGACAGAGAACGCGGCTGCCATACGAGTTAAAACGCAAACTCAACGAAGCGCTAAAACCACGTGTTAAAGACAATGGAAAACTGAGGAGGGCGGGTGGGTGGCGATGGGGCCACCCTTGGCGACACCCACGGGCTGCCACTCCACGGTCCAGTGACTGGACTCAAGGGCCTCGCAGAGAGTGACGGGGAGGCAGAGTGAAGTCACCCGTCGCATCCTCGGGAAAGGCACCTGCCTCCGACTCAGCCGGCCCACTCCCTGGACCTGCGCGACCGTGGACACAGCAAGGCCGGAGCTGAGACAGAAGGAAAAGCCAGATCTCCGGGTCCTCAGTCAGCAACCGAGAGGGCCCCCCCTCATGCTCTCAGACACCAGAGGGAACTGGGTCTAAGTGGGGGACATCCAGCCTCCACCCTGCTCCTTCCGGGGGACAGCAGAAATCCCACTCCCCAGCCCTAAGGTCGGACAGATGAAAACACTGTATGATGTGAAAGGAGCAGGAACTCGTGACTGTCAAGCAAGAGGAAAGCTAACAGAAGCTGAAGCACACGTGGCCCAGATGTTGAATCAGCAGACGGGGTCATGAAACAGCTATTAGAGAGAATACGTGAATGGGATGGACACATACGTGAAGACTTTTCACAAGGGAACCAAAATCCATCCAAAAAAAGGGCATCGAATGAGTGTTCCAGAGCAGAAAGCCACAGCGTCTGAAATCGGCGTTCGGACCTCAGCCACCTGCAGCTGGCAGAGCCCTGCTCGCCACACGACAGACAAGAACCCCGCTAGGGCAGAGCCTCTCCAGGCCCCTCTGGAGCAGTGTCCACGGCTGGCGTTAGCCCCTTCCCAGACCTACAGAACTCGGGCTTCAACAGAGCACGCTCGGGACTGTGCGCCTCCGGTGCGAGGTCACCGACCCCACTGGGCGAAGGAGCAGCGCTGTCCAAGTGTGCAGTGAAGACGTGCAATCCAGGGCTCACGTCTCATTAGCAAAGTTCAGACTCTGGGAAACTCTACAAGTCGAACAGTCCTTCAAAAGGAAAACCATGGAGAAAAGAAAGGTATAGAAGAAAAACTTACATACTAAAGATACTTATAGGACTCACCTAAAAAAAGAAGAGAAAACGACTTCTACTTGTGACCATGACACAGGAGTGGCACCAAACGAACGTGCCCTCCCACTGTGAGGAACGAGCAAACTGGACAGAATGTGTGCGGCAACCATTTCCTGACCCTGGACAAAAGGCGGCACAGGACCGCGATCCCAAGAGAAGGTAAACAGACAAGGTGACACCAGCGATCGCCGGGGCTTTCTGCCTGGAGGCACTTTCCACACTCCAGCCCGCAGAGCAACACAGACAGCATGGGTGTCAAGAACTGAGGAGAAAAACACAACGCTCAGGGAGGGCGAGGCTGCTGGAATTTGGGAGGCGGGTGCTGCAAAGGAGGAACCTAAAGAACTCGCTCCGGAAATCTGCAAAGAAATTGTTTTTCGAGTTCTTAGCTGTTTGTGTACAGGCTGAGAGAGCCGGGGAGCTGTGAGCTGGACAATTCCCAGAGCTCCAAGCCGACAGAGTGGAGAGGCCTCATCACACTCCAAGGGCGCTCAGAGGAGAGCTCAGAAGGGTCACACCCAGCCAGCCCTAGAGTACAGGATGCCTAACCAGGGGCTAGCAAAACGCGGGCAGCCGGGCGCTTGCTTCTGTAAACAAAGCTTCTTTGAAACACAGCCATGCTGTTTATCTACGTATTTTCTGTGGATGCTTTCGATATAAAACAGCACAGCTGAGTGGTCCAGCAAAAACAACGTGGCTTGTGAGCCTAAAATATCTACTATCTGGCCCTTTAAGAAAAAGCTTTTCAGAAAGGTTAAAATAAACCTGCAAAAGATGAAGCTGATCCACGGGAGATTAAACTACTGACCAAAAATTTAAAAAAATTCAACACCCACTAAATGAAGACAACAAAATCCAGATATTCAACAACATAAAATACATACTGTCTAGCACTCAATCAAAAACTACTAGACACGTGAAGGACAACATGACTTATAACTAGGAGAAAAATCAGTCAAGAGAAACAGACCTGGCAAACTCACTATCAAATTATAGACCTTAAATATGCACAGCTTTTTGCATGCCAATCATACCTTAATAAATTGGTTTTTAAAAAAGGAAGAAAGAAATAGACCTGGAAATGACATAGGTAGAATCAGAAGAGAAGTCTTTAAAAAGTCATTGTAAATACGTATATTAAAGATATCAAGGAAAACATGACTGTAACAGGAGAAACATAAGGTATAGAAAAGAAACAAATAGAACTTCTTGAGAAGGAAATCTCTCAAATGAATGATTCACTAATGGAGATGAAGATTACATCAGACAAGGAAGAAAAAGCCTCTCGATAACGACAAAAAAACAAACTATCCAATTAAAAAATGGGCAGAGGACTTGAACAGACACTTCTCCCTAAAGGACATACAAATGGCCAACAAATATATGAAAAGATGCTCAACATCGCTAGCTATTAGAGAAATGCAAATTAAAACCACAATGAGATACCATCTCACACCGGTTAGAATAGCTGTTACAACAGGACAAGTAATAACAAATATTAGAGAGGATGTGGAGAAAAAGGAACCCTTATACACTGCTGGTGGGACTGCAAATTGGCACAGCTACTATAGAAAACAATATGGAGGTTTCTCAAAAAACTAAGAATTGATCTACCATATGATCCAGCAATTCCTCTACTGGATATTTACCCCAAAGACTTGAAAACCCATATCCAAAAAGATATTTGCACACGGAGGTTTATAGCAGCATTATTCATGGTGGCCAGCAACATGGAAGCAACTGAAGTGTCTTACGATAGACAACTGAATAAAGAAGCTGTGGTACACTTATAAAATGGAATATTACTCAGAAGAAGAGATGAAATACTGCCATCTGCGACAACATGGATGGACCTCAAGATAATCATGCTAAGCAAAATAAGTCAGACAGAAAAAGCTGAAAACCATATGGTATCACTTATATTTGGGATACAAACCTAAAAGCAACAAATAACAGGACAAACAGAGACTCATGGACATGGACTATAGACTAGGGGTTACTAGAGACAGGGTAAAGGGGGTCAAATATGTGGTGACGGACAGAAATCTAACTATGGGAGATGAACACACAGTGTAAACATGTATATGCCTTACTGTTAAAGTGTACAGCTGAAACTTAGTGGATGTTGTTAACCAATGTCATCATGAAGAAATTTAAATAAGTAAAAAGAAAAACTTGAAGATAGAGTAATAGAAACTACCCAAACTAAAGCACAGAAAGAAAAATG